GGTTACCAGTTTTCAACTTCTTTCCCAGTGGAGCCTTTTGCTGATAAATAGAAAAAGACAACCACACTGACAGATTTGCATTATACCCTTCTTGTTTTTTTTATGCCCTGTAATAGGTAGCAAGGGAGAAAAAGAGGATAAGAAAATACAAAGTTTAAAAATCGTGTTAGCTCCCTGTTTTTAAAGGATTAAGGGCACTTATTGATGGATATGATGTGAATGTATTTACATGAAATACATATGTTCAGAATATTTTCAAGCATGTTTGTAATTCAATAAAAGGATATTGTATCTTCTTGCTAACTTTAAGACTAAAACTTTTAAATATTTTGCCCAACATGTAGTAGTTAAACATTCTGAGGAATCAGTGTAGGCTTAAGTAGCGTAGTCTCTTAATATCAATGCTAATTTATCCATTTTATCACCATCTCTCCTCCCTGTGCTAGATTACCAGTAGGAAATCTGCCATCTGAATTATTTAGTCTTCTACCATGATGTGTCGCTCTTACTAGCCATGATGTTTTGAAAAAAGTACTGGATTTAAGGTAGGAGGTTTTGGTTCCACCACTTTTATTTATTCATTCAACAAATAGTTTTTGTAAGCCAAGCTAGATGCCAGGTATTCAGAAGTGGAGAAGATACAGTCCTTGTCCTCAGTGAGCTTGTGGTGTAGTGGCAAGGGGATAATTAGAAAACGGGAGAGTTTATTTTAACAGGTATGCGAAGTAATCCAGACCAGGCTCATCACATCAAGCTGACAGGAGGGGCGAGCAGCACTTTGGAGTGTGTGGCAAGTACCAGAGAAGTGAGGCTTGCCCCGAGCCTAGAAGAGCCAGCAGAAGTGGAGCCCGCTTGTGCTCGGCAGTAGATGAATGAGAGAGGATAGTGTATTTCTGAAATCATAACTCACTCCTAGTCCCGAAGTATAGTTAGTATTCCCACAGGAGAGCGGTGGGAGACATCTGACAAACCCAGGCTGTATCATGAAGTTCGTAGTAGACTTTGTGAAGGAGTTTCAACTCTGCTAGAGAGAAAAGGGAGCCATTAAAGGCCAGTAAGCTTTTTTCTCTAATTCATTTAATATATCTGGACAGAAATTAAGGACTGAGAGACTGCAGTTAGGTGAATGCCATCAAAATCTAGCCGGCCCAGCCAATCCCCCCAACCAAAAAAAAAAAAAAAAGAGAGAGAAAATCCTAGTATATGGCTGTGGCCTTGGGAAAAAGCAAGTCAGCCTAGACTGATACAGTTGGTCACTGAAACCTGCTAGTTTCGTTTGCTAAATAATTGTCCATTCCCACCTGAAATCAAGGGTAGTCATTAACCTGTAACTTGTTTAATAAATAATGAACTTAACCTGCCCTCGCTGATCAAGCTCACTTCAATTGTTTTTTATACAAAAACTTGCCTGTCCTCCAAGCAAGTAGTAAGACGTTTGCCCAAGTGGTTGTTCAGGAACTTGGAGTCAGCTGTGCCTGGTTAGAGCTCCAGCTGGTTTAAGACTGGCTGGGACCAACAAACCTCCAATTGGGTAAATCCAAGTGTATGACCCATGACCTTTTGACGTCAGAGGGCCCAAAACTCCACCCCCAGGGCGTGCGCCCTGTGTTCCGTGTAGCTTAGCTGCGCCTGCGCAGAATGAGGAGTTCGCCATCTTTTCCTCATCTTCCAATCACCAGGATCCCCACGCCTCAGCTTTATCCCGTAAGTACCTCTGGCTTCTCGGGTTCTGGGAGGTGGATTTGAGGCTGCTTTGACATCTCGCTTTCCCATCTCGTGGATAAACCCCTTGTCTGCTGCAAACCTCGGCGTCTCAGTGTTTGGCTTGCTGCGCATCTGGCAAATGAACCTGGTTCCGTGAAGCGACGCCCCCACCGCTATTGCAGGTACCTTAGTTTATTTCTTTGCTCTGGTGGGTTAAACTGAGACCGGCCCCCTTTTCTAGGGGCTCCTAAGCCACAGTTACTGAGCTGCTTGGTGTTTGTTTTGTTGAATGAGAACTGCAAGCCAGATGGGGTGGAGCGAGTCAAAGAGGGGAAGGACCTGGGAGAGGCGAAAAGCTGGAAGCCCAGGAAAAGAGAGACAGAAGAGGTGTTGAGTGGAGGTTTTGGGGACCAATGCTGGTGGCTCCAGCAGCCTAGTCTCCCTCCAATTTACCCATGACTTTCAGTATTATGTCAGTTTCCTGGTGCTCCGCATGATGGAACCGGGTTTGCTTTGCACCTGCTTCAAGGTGAGTGCAGCAAGCACCAGAGGGCCAAAGGGAACCTGCCCAAATATGCTTTACCATCTTTTGCCTGGACTGCTCTCCCTTCAGGCAGAGCGACCTTCCTGAAACATAAACCTCACCAAGTTTATCCTCAGTTTAAAACTCTTTAAAGGCTCTCCTTTCTTCCCAGAATTTTCCAGTCTTTGTGATGATACATTCAGCCTTTCTTGAATGCATCCCTGGTAACCTGTCTAGCTTGGGCTCCTGCCTTGTCCTCTGCTCGGCTCAAATTGTTAAGCTCCATCTTGTTTCCTGAACCAGCCATCCTGCTTTGCACTGGCTGCTGCTTGTCCTGGAGGCTGGGGTGGGGGTGGTCTGGGAGCCCTCCTTT